TTTTTCCTCAAACAATAAAAGAATATATATAGGAAAACCAAAACCATATCTCTAGCCTAACTTCCTACTTAGAATAGGATTCAAACTCCTAATCATGATAGAGCTCAAACTTCTAATCGTGATATATCTCTAACCCTATCTAATTATCATGAAGTTTTACAAAGAATCAAAGACACAATCTTAACAATCTTCACCTTGGATTTGATTCCCAAACTCCCTTGAAGATATATCATCGTCGTCTTGAAACTTTGCCTCTCCCGCTAGAGTCTTCTATTTCTTTCGTATTTTAAATCGAAGCAGTCACACTCCTAATCAGAACACCTGCACTCCAACTGGTTGTCTCGTGACCCTCACTATTATCTGCTTCACCGTGTCGCCTCCACCCCTCTTGTGTGCACCAATAGATCTTCGCCACCTCTAACAATAAAAGCAAATCGATTATGCTTGTCCTCCCAACTTGATCCTGACAAAAACATCCCCCTACTTGTTGTCCTTGTGCTCCACCTACATCGCTCGTCTCGAATCATATCAGTGCACCTCTCCTACTCTACACTACGAGTCGGATGCCTCTATCCCCTCCATCACTTGGCTTGGACCGAATATGAGCGCTCATCGTCTTCAAGTCCAATGCCACCATCTCTATTACCATGTGTGTCACTCGGTCATGCCAGCTTACAAGCTCCACCTAATCTGGCACTATCCTCCTCGAGTCTACACACCAACCAACTATTGCTCTCGCGATGGCTTTGAATAATTATATGCTGACAACTCTACTGCTAGAATCACATCCGATTCTCTACGTTAGTCTCATCTGTCATATGCTCATTTATCCTATCTTCCATCAGATCTGTCTTGCCGTTGAATAGTAGAATATCGAACATCGGACCCGAAGAAGTCATCATTCTCTAACCACGATCAAAATCAAAGCAGTCACTGTTCCCCTACTTGTTGTCCTTGTGCTCCACCTACATCGCTCGTCTCGAATCATATCAGTGCACCTCTCCTACTCTACACTACGAGTCGGATGCCTCTATCCCCTCCATCACTTGGCTTGGACCGAATATGAGCGCTCATCGTCTTCAAGTCCAATGCCACCATCTCTATTACCATGTGTGTCACTCGGTCATGCCAGCTTACAAGCTCCACCTAATCTGGCACTATCCTCCTCGAGTCTACACACCAACCAACTATTGCTCTCGCGATGGCTTTGAATAATTATATGCTGACAACTCTACTGCTAGAATCACATCCGATTCTCTACGTTAGTCTCATCTGTCATATGCTCATTTATCCTATCTTCCATCAGATCTGTCTTGCCGTTGAATAGTAGAATATCGAACATCGGACCCGAAGAAGTCATCATTCTCTAACCACGATCAAAATCAAAGCAGTCACTGTAGAAATTGAATTTGATAAAACCGACACCAAAAACGAACTCAGTACGTCAAAAAACCCCTAGGAACGACTCCTGGATCACCAAAACCAGTCTCCAAATCCTCGATCAAAAGACAAATCAATCTCAACTGTTGGATCTGCGTGAACAGTATCCTGCGCCGCTACAGTGTCCCGCTACAGTTCTCGGCCGCTGCAATAGGCCGCTTATACAGTAATTTTTTTTCCTTTTCTTTTTCTTTTCATCTTGATTCTTGTAACATCGATCTTCAACCTTACACGATGTCGTCTTCTATCTTGCGAATTCGTTCCCGGATCCATCATCATCTCTCTGATACCACTTGTTGGGAAATTTCACTCTCCCCGCCTACTATAATACGCACAAATCCGAAGCCAATCCACAATCAACAAGATATAAAATGATCACAATCAAGAAAAAAAGAACACCGGGATTTACATGGTTTGGTTGACCAACTTCGACCTACGTCCACGGGGCAACAATACGAGAAATTCACTATGTATCAGAGAGAACTACAAGAAGAACCACTCAACTCTCGTCTCTCAATTTCTCAACCTCACATACATAATCAACTCTTATATTCTCTCTAAAGCCCACTCCTTGTAATCTTTTGTACGGATAAAGATCATGAAACCCTTGCCTCTCGCGCAATATTCTTGAATTAGGCTACATCCTCTGCTAACCCTAGATTACAAGAATATTGGCTCTCTCTCTCTACTACATCTTCTCTCTACTCTCTTCTTCTTAGTTTTTCCTCCAATAATTGAATAATATATATAGGAAAATCAAAACTCTACTTCTAGCCTAATTTCCTACTTAGCATATGATTCAAACTCCTAATCATGATGGAACTCAAACTTCTAATCATGATAGATTTCTAACCCTATCTAATTCTCATGAAGTTTTACAAAGAATCAAAGACACAATCCCAACAAATGGTAGTAACTCATCGTTTCACTCAAAAGAAAGCGTATGGGTAGATAGGGGACCTTTCTTCGAGGGATCGTAAAACATTCATGAGCTTCTTAAAGCAATAGAAATAGAATTTTTAAAACTTGATTCCCTATTCAAATATATATCTCCACCTCCTTGTCTAAAAGTTGATTCCCTATTCAAATATATATCTCCGCTTCCTTATCTCTATTCACCTCCTTCATTTTTTTCCCCACAACATTGTAATAGCACACCACTAATTACTTAGACCACAAGTAATATCAACTCCACACAGCTAAATTAAATAGATAAAAGTAAAT